GGCTGAAGATTATGTAGAGATAAGAATTTGTTGAAGCATGTTGTATTATCATATATTTCTAATAGATCTAGTGGTAGGTTTGCAGAGGGCTTTCCTCGTAGTGTTTTAGTAGTTGGAAATGAGTTATCATTTTCAGAGTCTTCTGATAGATTTGGAGAGAGAGTTGATAGACCCAACGTACAGAACAGGCTATGGCACCCTTCGTAGCTGTGAGAGCCAAGCATATGGTGAGCACCTCTATAGAAGGAATCGTAAACATCTCAGATACCAACTCATCAAATCCTTCTGAGATCACCTCTAATAACACTCTCTTACTCACTACAACACAACCAACTATTCCATCATTATTCCTAACCACTCCATCTATTCAAACAACCAACCTGGCCATCATTAACTTGGTCTTCCGCATTTTATTAAATTTTTAATATATATTTAATCTATATAGTATTACTGTATGAACTACATAATTTAATTAATTGTATATAAAATATAGGGCTATGTTTTAACTATCTATATCTAAGATCTATCTATACAGTTATATCTAAGTATCTATAGTATTTTTAATTTACTTTTGACCTAATTTCATCAGAAGTGATTACAAGATTAGCCTAATTTTAGGTTCTTGTATACCACTCACAATTATCTTTCTGCAGTTACCAAGGCTTCCACTTGCAGTTGTGACTGAGCTGTTAAGTCTGTCATTTGAAATCCCAAGTCCCTAATCCTGTGATGTAGAATTCTGTTAAATCTACAGTTTTCTAATATTTGCTCATTATTCTATTAAACTGCTTTTGCCCTTGTAAAGGTTTGCTATTTTTAAACCAGATACTCACTTCACATTCTTCTTCACAAACTGAGTTTTTGGTTTATCAAACTTCTAAACAGTTGGTCCAGTTTGGTTGGCCTGTCCAGGCTTTAAGTGCCTTATAGTCTCCCTTCCCTTGATACACGCTTCTAGAGCATATGTCCTTTTCCTCTGGTGTGACTCCAGTGGCCAGGTTAGTAGAACCCCAAACTTATAAATGTCTTGTCATTCAGATCTCTTAAATCTTTAGTTGGTCCAATTCTGTTCTGTAGTATTGTTATATCCTCACTACTTTCTAAACTCAGGTCTTGCTAAGCCAGTTTCAGTTTTTCTAGTTCTCTTTTGGTTTTATTTCAGTTTCAGAGACTTATCCTAGGTTTGCATCATCTAGACTAGTTTGCATTTCTTTGTATAATACAAAAGCTCTAGAACCTTCTAGTATCTCAACAATAATGGTGTGACTAGAGTTATAGATAATATATTAAATTTTAAATTAATTTAAAGATTTTATAATTTTTATAGATTGGATTTTATTTTATAAAACTCCTTGAATTTTAGTATCATTAATACAAGCTTATACTAAAATGCCAATTAATTTATAGAATTCTACTTTATTTGATACTATTATTACTGAATCTGTATATGTATCAGTAAACAGAGAATACAAAATTAAAACTTAGAGTAGCAATTATAAAGTAAGTATTATTAATTTTTTATTTTAATTTAAAATAAAATTTACTAATTTTAAAATTTTTAAAGATGTTGAAAATTTGCTAGCTTATAAAAGAATTGAAATTTATAATAAATTTTCTATTTTTAAAACAAATAAAAATACTAGTAAAATACAAAAAATTATAATACCAATAAATATAAAGATAAGTTTATTATTTATATTTAATTTTTATTTTTTTTTTATAAGTGATCCTATCCTGCCTTTATTTATGTGAACTACTACATAATTTATATACATTTATATACTAAAATTCTTATAACTTATTGTTCTAATCTAATAAAGACTCACCAGATTAAACCCAATGCGATCTGCCATAACAATACCTTAAAAACCACTATTCCTCCTCTAATTTCAATTCTCTCTTCTATAATTACCAATCACAATATCCTAAAAACTCCCTTCCTACAAATGATCCTTCATTTATGCAAATTAAGAATGAATTTCAAATCATCAAAACCACACTTAACCATCAATATCAACAAGAACTTTACTCAGAAATTAAACAAAAAATAGAAAATCATAACAAAACCTTTCTTGAAACCCCTAAAATTTTCTATAAAAATATACTTCAAAAACATAATAATATCAATATTGATCGTCTTTTTCTAAACAACTCACTCTTAACTGAACATAATGAAATTCTTAATGCAATCCATAACCATTTCTCTAATTACTTTGATGAAAAACCTCTAATTCCAATTCCACCATCATCACTAAGTACATTTTTTTATAAAACTTATGTAGTTCTATAAATTTATATAAATGTTATATAAAATTTTTATATAGATTTACAAACCCAATGTAGACTTATATAGTTAAAATTTTTAGATATAATTTAATATAATATTTATATATGGTTTATTTATTGTTTATATAAACATAAAATTTACGTAAACTTTATTTATATCTACATAAAATAATTTACTTTAGCTATTTCTCAAAAGTGACTAAGGTAATCAGTGTTTGATATACTAAGTAGAAATATTCAGCATGCCTGAAAACCTTCCCCAAACCCCTAATTTAAATTTTAAAACCTAATCTTAACTTTAATATTCAAGTTAACCATTTTTGCAATTTTACATAAATCTATATAGAAATATATATAAATGGCTATGTAAATCTACATTGGGTTTATAAAGTTTTATAAGGTTAAATAAAAATTCTGCATAACTTTATGTAAAAATTTTATATAGATCTATGTAAAAATGCTTCCTGATGTATTTGTGACACTTATTTAAAACATTATTCGGTACACCTAAATCATCACTAAATTTTAAATTCACCCAATAGTTCAGGCGCCTTAACTTGACCTTTTTGTATTGCTTCTACCATTTTTATAAGATCATAATTAATTTCTTGAGAAACTATTGAATCATTGTTATAATTTGGATGAGATCGTACAAAATTTCTTATCCATGTTGCCGTTGTCTGGATTTTGCCTATTAATATAATTGTATCTCGTGAATAATAAATTATTAAAACTATCAGCAATAATAAATTTAATCAAAGGAGATAAAATAAATTACCGCTAGCGCGCATGCTAATAAACTCAAGATACTTTCCCAAATGATACCGTGTTTCAATATCAATATTCATTGATTCGAGATATTGAAATATTATATTAATTAATCCCGGAAATTCTTTACCCTGTCATAACATGTACAGTATGTTAATATAAATACAAGTATTAATTAATGATTGATAAAATTTGTAAAATGCACAATACTTACATTACCATTTATAATTTCATTAACAGTAATTTGTTCAAATTCATCTTTATACAGACAGAATTAAATAATTAGTAATGTCAGCGACTTTAGCCATAAAATAAACACATTTAATTATGAATCACAATCAAATATCATTATTTGTTAGTTTGCGCTATATAAATTTGATAATATATAGTTATGAAATAATCAATAGTGTTATTACCTGCA